CGACATAGAGAGAACGAGAGAGAGAAATAACGAGAGAGAAAGCAAGCGGTATAAGTAGTTGTGGGGTCGGGTAACTTCACGGGAATGGCAATCTCGTGAAGATGCGATGTAGGCTCGACAGAGAGTTCAAACTCTCTATGAGCTTCACGGATTCAGAATCCCGTGAAGTTTGCAATCAAAGAAAACTTTACGAATTGGCAATCCCGTGAAGATTGTTTTGTTTGGATACTACATTTAGTGCAGCTTAGTTTTATGCTAAACTACACGAGATTCGCAATCCCATGTAGTTCGTTCAACTTATTTAGCCATTTCGACCTAGTTTCAGCCAGGTGGCTGAAATTGGGTCTAAAATGCTAATCAAAATTGAAACAGATAGAAAATTCTAATTAAATTTTAAAAAGGGTCGGTTTTGAAAATTTGTCCTACATGTTCCAGAAAGAAAACTGGTTGTTTGTATCTTTTCGAAGTGGATCAAATTATAGTCAGGTATTTCCTTGGTTGGACAGTTACACTAAAGCATATAGATTATAGAATTACATTTAGGAGTCCTTGTCCAATGAAGGTAAATGATACTAAATATTTGGATGGAGAAGTAGAATAAGAATAGCGATGAAGAGTTGTAAATGGTGGGTCTTTAATGAGGACTATTTGATACTCATGGATGATCTAGGAGTGTTTGTTCTTATTTCCGCTAGTTGCAATTTTACCTACGGGTGACTTTTTGTATCCGTTGCTGCAGTTATTGGAAGGTAGCTATCGATATTACTACATTTACATACTTCTATGGAGATGCACAAACAAAAGCAAATGCATGTATATATCACATATAATGGAAAAATAGGCATGGGTTGATAGCTCATTTTGCAAAATGCTCACAAGAGATGGGAGTGGTGAGGTCCATTTACTTTAATGTTATAGTTTGACAGTATAAATATTTGATATTTCCTTCTTTAGAATAGCAAATGTTTGTTTCTGGTCCTATTTCTGAGGCATATACTCGTATTGAAATTTAATTCCCTCTTTTGTTGTCAGTTCAAATTTTGGCTTTTACATGGTGAGAACTTCAAAAGAGAAGCTGATTAAAGCTAAAGATGTCTTAACTTGTGGTCCGCCCTCTATGCTTGTTATGGAAACTGCTCTTATAACCCTTGCACATCTTGCGTTGTACAGTGAAGAAATCGAAAATGAGGTTGGTGGATTGCTTCTTTTTTTTCCTATTGATATCTTTCCCCTAAAGATTTAGTTAGTTTAGAATTTTATATCACTAATGGCTATATGTTGCAGATGGTTTTTAGTGATAACAGTTTTTATTTTGCCCATTATTTACATTTTTGACATAACTTTCCTATTCTCTATTTAAATGGACTCTCTTGGTTTCTCAAAGCATTATTTTTTCACATAAATGCGTCCATGAATGGCCATACTTTTAACATTGGATAGCGGATATATGAGAATCTTTGATATGTTTTCGTGAATTATTATTGTTTCTCACTCCTTTTTTGTTTTGTTATTAATATTGCACTATAATTGATAAATAAATTTTTATGATGCTAATTCTGGTGTTGATGAGATAACTGTATTTTACCTGACACTTTGACAGTGATTTAGTTATTTTGTATGATATAAATTGACATTCTGAGTAATATGTGTATCTAAATATTGTTATTTTGTGGTTCTGATTGGTCATTGGTCCCTCCTCACATGTATTCTATGTTTCTAAAGGTATTAGTATGTACCACATTTCAGGATATTGTCGTGTGGTCTTACTTGTGATGGTCGATAACTATTTATTTTTCATTCATTTCTTTTCTTAAATTCACATAATTATGACACACTCAAAATTAGTTTTCAAAGTCCCGAGTTGCAATTTTTCTTTTTTTTGCAACAAATATAAGATTCAGTGTCTCTTCTCAGGTTTTTTGTTTATCTAATTCCTCCCTCCATCCTTGTGGAGCTTGCTGATCTTAACTTGTGTGATTGCATGGAATGTTGGACAGTGAATTTATGAACTGTTTTTTGTGAAAATTACAACCGCAAATGTCATTACAATTTGAAGAAAATAGTTTCAAATTGCTGTTGGAGCCCTTTTTTAGCTGCAACTGCGTTAAAAAAATGAAGTGGTTTTTCAAAAAGGAAAAAAAGAAAATTTTGTTGCCAAGTTGATTGTTAGTCGCTTTGTAAAACTTGGTTCAATTTTCGAACTGTGGATCCAAAAGGATTGTAGTTGCAGCAAACAAACAACTCCTCTACAACTACAACAACCTTCTGTGAATTGTGATTGCAGCGGCAATTGCATTTTTTTGCAAACAAACAAGTCTTGCAATTTGATTTGTATGAGAAATTGAATTTCTTGAATCTCATTTAAATTTAAAATTGTTTGCATCTTGCTACCGTTAGTGAGGACAGATATCTTGCTTAGTTGTCAACATTGTATCTTTTTAATGATTGTTTATTCCGGTAATTGATTATTTATGTGAATTCGTAGGCTGTCTTCATGATTTGTGTAGTTGCTGCTATAGACCCCTCTCAAAGGTATTGTTAGTTTTCTTGGTTAAAGTTTATTTATTGTTAGTTTCGTGGTTAATGTTGCATTCCATTTTTTTTCTGTTCTCTCTTATTATTTTTATGAAATTTATTCTTTTAGGAAACTGACGTATGCACTTCTGGATAATTTATCGCAACAACTCAAGTATCCTTCTCGTACTAAGGTAATATCTTCATTTTTTTTTCTTTTTTTCTTGTTAAAAAATGTACAATGAGTTTCTTTATCAAGTTTTTGTGGTTATAAAGAGTAAGATAATAGGTATAACTTGTATAGTTATAAAGGGATCTTGTGTGTTCCCCTGAAAGACATATTCAAACATGGTGAATGACGCATCAGAACGCTAGCTTAAGAAACTACAAGGCCCCTCCGTAAAAAAATAAAAATTTTCCTCCAATGTCAGATAAGAAATACAAATACCGTTTTTGTTATCTCACAAATCTGTAATATACATTTCTATTATATCTCTATTTTATATATTACTTATGGCTGCAACTTAAATAATAATGATATTATTACCTGTGGCCCAATTCCCTACCTGATAACAAATATTCTCAAGGATCTAGTGAAGCCCCATTGGTCTGTGAGATTCATCTATGTTATTGATTACCTGCCAACAAAGCTATTACAGGGACATGAGCTCAGGGAATAACAAGTGACAAATCATGCTAAGCAGTTTATAACACTGGTTGGCTTGGTCTGTAGGGCTGTCTTGTCAATAGGCTTGTGCAGATAAACCCTCTTATATAGGGGATAAATCTTGGCTTATTTTAACTTCTGTTTTATTGGTATTGTATCGTTGATCAGTGATGCATGCAACGCATGTTAAAAATAAATCCTAGTTTTCCTTATAACCAGTGTTTTAAATGTCGGCCGACATGTCGGACATGTCGGCCGACATGTCGGGTTGAAGGTGCCAGCGACACAAGTCGGGCTTTCTTAAGTCGGATGTCGTTTTTGGGGAGAATATCGGATAAATCGGCGCAATATCGGCCATATCGGCCGATTTTTCAGGTTTGAAAAATCGGCCGATATGCTATTATATCGGTTTAAAGCTATTTTTTCTTAACAGTCAAATTACAAAACTGTCCCAGGTTGGCTTGGTGGTTGAAGTTTCAGGACTTGGGCACTTCTCTTTGTTAAATCGAATGATTAGTTTCATATCGAAGACCGTTTAGCATATCAAAGACCAAAATTGTTTCAGGATGCAATCGAGAATCAAAGTATGCTTATATTGAATTTAGAAATGCTTAGATTACATTTAGGACGTGGTATTATACATATATGCACTACCCGATATCGCAATCCGATATTTAGTTCATGTCCCCCGATATATCCCCGATTTCCGCTATCCGACATGGATTTCGGCCGTCCGACATGAACCCGACATCCGATATTTAAAACCTTGCTTATAACTCAATGTGACACTGTACCATGTAAACAGTAAATATGTAGCCTCAGGTACATGTATCAGATTCTAAGAGAATGCTGAAGACAGTATATGTTAAATTATTTTTATGTATAAGCCATATAGTTATATAACAACCCTCATTACTCATTAGTAACTGTCAACTAATCACATGTGTAGTCATTTGGAAATAATCATTAGTTACACGACACACATTCATTATAAGATCCCATCTGTGTTCCCGAAAGACATTGTCTTGAGCTCTACAATGGATGAACCATATTCCATCGACTCATATTTCTAGATTCATAAATATTTATCAGGAACCTTGTGACCCAAACAATGAAAATCTGTAATCGTTATTCTGTATAAGTTTATCTTTTTGTATGAAAAGATCATACATCATACTATAATTTAGTAATATAATTAATCCTTGAATATTCGGTAATTGAGGTTTCTTGTTGTTGTAGCCTTGTAGGTAATTGTCATTGCTCTAGTCGTCAAAATTTAACCTTTCTTTTATTTTAATTCTTATATTTCTCAGCTCTACAGTCCCAAGCTATTGGGTCGAGTTTTATTCCTATTTTTATGGTAACTTTTAAAACTAACTGACAAAATTTGCCTGTTGTATAATCATGTTAGATAGTAGGTTGAGTCATCTTAATGACCAATTCTATATGTCAATCACGTGATTCGCATCATATGAATTCTTGACAAAAGGAGGAAGGATTATAAGGGAATGCGGGAATATGGTCTCATAAGAGAGGACAGCCAAACAAAATGTTACGAGATAAGTAGATTAAGTATTTGGTATCATGTACAAGAGTTAACAAAGATTTATTGGAGAAGCGTGAGCTCACTTCTCTTCTCTCTTATTCTTCCTTTCCCTTTGCTTTCTCTGGCTGCGAGACTGTGACCTTTTCTTTCTTCTTTTTCTTTCTCCCCATCTCATTATCTCTTCTTTCTTTTCAACCCCCCACCCCCCCCCCCCCCCCACCCACCCACACACACACACACCAAAAAAAAAAAAGTTTTGCAAGAGGATGGCATAATGATCCGTCCCCCATTCATACTTCCAATGCTTAAGGCCGCCCAAACTGCTTAAAGCTATTTTGCCTGGATCATAAACTTTTCCCTTAAACACCTCTGATTCTAATATTTATGCATAAGTTACAAACACAATGAACTTTTTAACCCAATGAAGTCTTATTCAGAATTCAGGTTGCTTACAGATCGTAGCAAATTTCAAACCATTCCATGTATATTTATGCACGCACCCATATACACACAGAAGGTCAGTTGTTTTAGGAGGTAAATTCCTCATATATGTTATAATATATACGTGCATGTGTGTGTACACACATGCATGTATGGACACACATGTTATATTTATGTATGTATACATCTATTTATGCGTGGATGTGTATGTGTGTGTATAGGAAAAATCATGTGTAGGCCCCAAATTAAAAACCCTCATGTGACCAAGCCCGTTCACTTTTTGGCCATGTGTTTTGGCCCCTTGACCCAAGTTCTCATGTGGAAAAGCCCCTTTTTAGCTTTTATCCCCAAAATACCCTCACCTTCAACCTCTCATCTCTTTTTTGTAGACCCATTAATTATTTTCCTCCTTATTCTCCTCAACCATTATCTCTTTCACCACCACCTCTGCCATCAAATCATCCTCCTCTTTCGTCTCATTTTTTTCAACTATTATCTTTCCGGCCGCCACGACAACTTCTTTGTCATTTTCATCTTTTCTCAACCATCTCTTCCTTCTCTCACCATCACCACCGCATCACCAAAAAATCGTCTCCTTTGATTGAAATGGTCATCTTTTAAAATCAAGTGAAAGCTAACACTTAAACAGATAAGTTAACATATAAGACTTGCAATTACGATCTAACAATTAAAGATAACACGTGAGGTCTAAAGTTAAAATCTAACAGTTTCAGAACTTTTATACTAATTTCAATTATTAGACATTATCTTTGTACCTCATATGTTAACCTTAGACCTTACGTGTTAACTTTCATTATTAGATGTTAATTTTAAATCTCACTGTTAACTTTAGACCTCATGTCAATTTTAATTGTTAGACGTTAACTGTAATGTTAACTTTACCTATTAAGTATTAACTTCAGTATAACCTTAGAAAATGGTTATTTTATCCAAGGAATACGGCTTTAAGAGATGAGGCATATGACTTTTAGAGATGAGGCGACAATTATGGAAGAACGAGAAAATGGAAATGGAGGAAGAAAGAGAAGGGTGAAAATAAAAATAAAATGGAAGAGGAGGGACGGGAAGAAAGGTGACTGGAGATGGGCTAAGGAGAGAAGACGGAGATGGATGAGCGGAGGAAGAATGGGGGAAACAGAAAAAAGGACGATGATGGAGTAAGAATAGAGGACAGAGAAGCGAGGAGAATAAAAGTTAGATGAAGAAGTAGAGAGGAAGGAGGGCGAGTGGGAGAAAAAAGAGGAGAGGGGGTGGAATGGAGAAGGGAGGAGGGTGATGGTAGGGAAGAAGAGAGGAGGCCGAATGGAGAAAGAGAGAGAATACAAGAGGAGGAAGGAGAGGAGGAAGAAGATACGAGTTATTTTAGGGATGTGAGGAAGATATTAGTTGGGGAGGTCTTTTTGACATAAGAATTTGGGTCAAGGGGCAACACATAAGGCCAAAAAGTCAATGGACTTGGTCACATGAGGGTTCTTAATTTGGGGCCTAGACACAATTTTCCACACACAAGACATACATATACACACACACACAAATATTTACACACACACATACACGTCCATGTCTACATAAATAGATGTGTGTGTATGTATTTATGTGTGTGTCTGTATGTATGTATGTGTTGCGGCAATCATGGTCTTTACCATTGCTAATTGGCCTACTATATTGGTTTTTAATGTTTTCATTTTTCTTTCTGCATTGTTCACACAATGTTCTTCACATGAATGAAATGTGATTTTTTCTACAGTTTCTTTTTAAAGTGAGCTTAGATTGCAGATGGAATTGTAAGGTTTTCACCATTTTAAAGTTTTATGTGAAATATGGTGTTTGACAGTATCTAGATGAATTAATCGGATCAATCATTGCTCGCTGGGTAGCTTGTGAAGTAAGCTTGTTGGCACTGACTGAGGTGAGGCCGATGCATTCTCTTACCTGATATTGCAAATTTTATTGAATATGATGTTAGAGAAGAGAACTTTCTATTTTTGTCTTGTAAATTCTTACACAATGGTAATTTGTAAGCTAGATTTTGATGTGTGCTTAGAGTATCAACATGACATTGTTGAAACATACACTTATTACATGAAGAAATTTGAACCTACTTCATTTCTCAGATACATTACATTATGTGCTTTATGTTGACATTGTTGCTTTTAACTACAATGTCTTAACAACAGGAATATCCAAAAAAATGTATAATAATGCAAAGTTTGTCCATTTACTGGTTCGAGGAAGTGGGCTCTGCATCCATATCTTTGGTCTCCTCTATATGCCTAACACACTTAGTCTTATTTGGCACTATGTGCGTTAAGAATAGTTCTTTGGGGTCATATTAACTGGCACTGCAAACAACTCATGAGATTGTATTCCACAGCAGATTAAATTGGAACTTCTCTTTATGCATTTTTAAAATATTTATATTCTAATGCAATGTATTTCTGATGGCATTGATCATGACTTATTTTTGCCTATTTGTTATGGGTTTCGGTAAGTTGAGCTAAATTTGCAGGTAAAACTCGATTTGTCTACTTAATCTAATGATTATGCATTTGAACATTTGATTCTGAAATGCGAGGACACCAGATGAAGGCCTAAGCTGTCCAGTGCATTTTTTCAAACTATAAATACTTTTTTCTGGCATAAAGTGTATAAACTAATTTCATTTGGAATATTACCAACATAACGATGCTGTTACCTGCATCCCATTTTGTTTGAGACTGAGAATTCTTATAATTTTTATGTTCCACATTTTTTGTCATGATGTTTTTATATATTCCCTTATTATTAGGAAAAACACAAGCCCAATATTTCCTGATGTACTAAATAAAAATGCTCGTCTATACACCTCCGTGCACTTCTTTTATGGTTTCACGTGATCAAATGCCATGAGGATTAAAAAATCCTGAAAGGATAGAAAGGAAAAAGGATAGAAAAGATGAAACAACGGTGAAACAGGAAACAAACAGAAGAAACTGGCTATATATTTTATGTAGCTTACATTAGGCAATATAGCAAGGAGTTGCTTTTTCAGTTCCTTTGACTTGTTTCCAGTGGTATAGATTCATAAAGCTGTCATATAAGAATATACACCTTTTTCATGGTTCTGCTATGTCATGCGATCTAATCACAAAGAATCTGTAAGAGGTAAATTAATTACTAGATCTTAAAGTGTTGCTTTGATTAGACAGGAATGCATATGGAAATATACAAATATATAACCTGTCGCTGGATCTAATTATTTTGAACTCGTCTTTGCCACTTTTATACTCGCTTCCAATCCCACGTTTGTCCATGTCTCCCAAGTGGTTGTCATTGGCTTTTGTTCTTAAAAGAATTGTGACAAAAATTACTGTTCATACATGCTTTCCAAAGCCTGTGGCAACTTTTGATGTATAATTGCAATGCAACGCCTACAAAATATGGTGAATAACGAGGCAGGCTTGGGTTAGGAACTTAGCTTATCATGCATGTATTGTTTAGTTGAAGCATTATATAATTTGATTTGAATTTTGTTGATATCTAGTCGGGGAGCAATATGGTTCAGATATTTGATTTTCTTGAAATCCTTGTTATTTATGCACAAGTTCACACAACTGTGCAGTATGTATTCCGTACTTTTATATTTCAACCAACTGGATTGCGAATGGTGTATGTGAGCTCATAAAAAGTTTGTGATTGTTTATACTCTTTACCTCTTTCTACTATCATCTTTTAGGTTTGTACAGATAGCTTGTTCCTTAATGTAGTTTTAGTTGAGATTCAACTTCAGAATTGCATCTTTCCCTTATTTCATTATTTAATTTAGAATTTCAGGTCATGATTGTCTTTTTGTATTTCTCATATTTCTGTTTTGTACTTCTTTATTTTTACTTGCTCATCTTTTTCTTGCTATATGTTCATGTTCTAGTTTTCCTAAATGGGAAAAAAAGAAAAAGAAAAAGATTTTTGTCTTTAATGTCAATGCTTTGCAGGTGCAAGATCTTTTTGTTAATTTATCAGAGCCAAAACTCTTCATGCTGTATTGCTGCCCTTGGTTGCTCCCACCTCTTATTTTGAAAAGGGATTTTTCCAGTCTTAATTGGGTATCTAAGGTAAATTGTTTTTCATGTATTCCTGTGTAAATTTATTGCTTCGTTACATTGCCTTTTTGTGATTGTGTTGGAGTAGTTGTTAAATCACTTGTAATACATGGCCAATTTGCGCCTACTTTTGCACAACATTCCATAGGCCAGAGCAGGTTTTGGGTTTTATTATCTATTGAAACTCTTTGTTTTCAGCTCTGCCTATTTTTTCTTTATAGTTGGCTGCCAGTTGGTGTATCTCAAATTACTGGTCAAAATTTTCACCACATCAAACATCCCTCTTTGTCTTTAGTTGGTACTCAGTTTAATTTTCTTCCAACTTGTTGTGGATGAGATTAATGAAGAGTTGACGGTGATGCTTCTTCATGTCCTATGCAGCTTTATCAAGTCGAATCACTTGGACGACAACGATAACAATGTGGTTTTTTACTTCAGTACAACATCTTGTTTTCTAGCTGGGAGCTTACAGCTCATTTATGTAAAACATAGATTCGCATCCTTGTATAATGAGGAAGATGCACCTTTATTACTTTAAAAGTTTAAATTGCTTAAAATCAAACTTTCGAAGCATAGCTAGCGATCAGAAAAAAGATGCAAACAAAACTAGTTCTAAGTATTACAATCTTTCTTTATACATTTAAGAACCTTAAGAACTGCAGGGCTTACATTAGATAATCTTGTACTACTGCTTCTGGAAAATTGTTATATATGCTGGATTATGTGGCGATATCTTAAACTGTTGAGTGGCTAATATATTTAGCCCCCCCCCTTTTTTTCTCTTCTTTTTCTTCTCTTTCTTTTATTTATGTTTTCCTAATTATTACTTTGGAGTTTATTGATTGTATTTTTTTTTTTTTCTCCTTTGGCTTTATCGTTGTTTTTTGTCTATTTTTGTTCATTCTTTTTATATTTTTTTTATATATTATTTGTATCTTTCTATTTTGTTCTTTTTTGTTCTCATATTGATGTTTTTTTATTTTTTTTTTCTTATTTGTTCTTTCTGATTTATTTTTATTTGTTTATACTTTTATTCTTGTCTTTCTTATTATTTGTCTTTTCTGTTATTTCTTCTCTTATCTTTTCTTATTTTCTTTATATATTATTTTTTTATATAATTTTACTATCTTATCTATGTTTTTTTTTTTTATGTCCTTTCTTTCTTTCTGCAAAGGAATTTTTCATTCTTCTGTATTTTTCGTTATTTTATTTTTTTTTTTTCTATTTTTTTTTTCTTTCTTCATATTTTGTTTTATAATATTTTTTTTCTTTTCTTTTTTTTTTTTCTTTTTTCTTTTTTCTATTATATTTATTTTCTTTATTGATTCTTTTTTTTTCTTATCTTTTTTCTTATTTATTTTTATTATTTTTTATATATTTTTGTCATTTTTTTTTAATTTCCTGAGCTTGAGAGAGATGAACTTATAAAGAAAAATATGGTATGCATCTGATCTTATTGATTGCTTAATCTTGTTATCATTTTTCGTTGTCTTGATTTCTTCTTGAAGTTGAATGTATTTGCATTTTTAATGATATACAATGGACTTTTCTAGTTTTTCGTTGGATCATGCATGTTAGGTTATTCTAGAATGTAAGCATTAAAAAGTATAGATCTGAAGCATCTTTCTGATGGTATCATGGTATTGAATTTGGAATTTTTGGTAGTTTATGAGGTATCTACTTGCATAACTGTTGATCCTTGTACCTATAGATCTGCTTATTTGTACTTGATGTAGCTTTCTGTTAATCTTGGAATGTTCAACTTTAATGAGGCAATACATTTTGCGACATGTTTCTGTTAGTTGCTCATTTAGATGACACCATGTGTTTTACCTATGCAATATCCATTCTTTAAATCCTTTGTTATATATTTGTAAAGCTTACAGTCTTACAGAGGTTACCTTTTTCTGAGCAGAAGACATATACCCACCAGCGAACTCTTAAGCACTCAGTTCTTTTGGATAATCACACAAATAGCATTATTAAAATTATTAGTGTTGACTTTTTATTTGTAGATATGTCCAAAGATTTCAAAAGGACTTCTGTTTTGCATAAAACAATGGAAACCTAATTTTTCCTAGATTTTGCATATATCTATTTAAAATGACACCATTCCAGTGCAAAAGGATCTGTTCAGAGCCTGGCAGAATAAACTAGGCCAACCACAAAACCTTGAGCTGGAAGGTCTTTTTGTAATTGAATTTGAAGTAAATTCTCCCTAAAATACTCAAACTTGTAGAAATTTTTTTTGGCATTTAATTTAGTCAGAGCATGTTAACATTGGTATCTTCAATGTGAAAATATCTAGTGCAGGTAATACTTCCTGCGATTGTAAGTATGTAATTATGAATCAGCCACTTAGAAATGGAAAATTCTCGCAAATGACTTTTTGCAACAAAATATGCCATTCCAACTATTTTACAACAAATCAAACACGGGAAAATGAATTTTGAAGTACATTTCTGCAGAAAAATACAAATATCCGAACTGACAACTTTGAAGTAAATTTCCTGTGTTGCATGCAACATACGTTGCATTTATAATTGCAGCATGCCTAACGGACTCTTAGCATCAACCCTGAATGTATGGTAATAAATTCCTGATATGAAACGAGTCATAAACCTAGGACTCATGTGAGGCGGTATGTCTACTGTAGTGTAGTTTTGGGATGACCAAGGAAGTCATGGACTTGAATTCAAAATAGATTGCTTATCTCGTAGTACCAACATTTCGGGACCAAATTATTCCATTTATATTCAATCTTTCAATATGAAAAGCATTACCTTAATGTTGTTATGGGATAGATCGTGATATTATTCCAGCACTCTGCGTTGCTGCCTTGCATTTGAGCGCATCGTCATTTTTGTGACAACTATTCCACAGTGCTGGTTGGTTTTCCCATTGATAACCTATTTGTCCATATGAATGTTTTTCAGGTATCAATCATCAGCTTTCTTTTGTCACTTACATCCTCTTGTGCCGACCCAGAGATGCCTTCTTTTACAAAAGACACTGTTGTGCTATCAGTGCAAACCATTGTTGATGGCTTTTTTGAGATGTACAGTGTTGTTTTCAAAATTTCTGTTTCTGTCCAATCTGTGAACGTGTTGTGATATTGATTTAGTGTTTCCTACTATAAATATTACAGGGACGAATCTCCGAAAACTGTTGGAGTTGTTGATAAAATCAATATTTTTCGCCCCGACAGGGTTTTTAAGGTAAAATTTCTGCATCATTTGTTCAGTATTCTTGCTGATTTTAATGTATGCTTGAATTCCTAACTTGGCTTTACTGTGAGCTTGAATATGTAGTTTCTGGTTGAGATACACTATCAAATTACAATTGCTATTCATCCTCGGCACAAATGTCATCGGTTGTCTGCCATTGAAGCTCTTATCCAAATTATTGGGCATAGAGCTACTGTTTCCAGTACTTCCAAGTAAGATTGCCATTTTACTTCTATAAGATCAGTGTTACATGGTAAACAACATATGCAGAGAAAACTCTAATGCTGGGTAATACTACAATCTGTGAGATATAAACAGGTAGTTGGTGAAAATTCTATTATGTTTAGAACTTAGGACTTGAACCAATGTGATCATTTGTCATTTTTATGTAATGGAAGATGATTAAATAGCACGAAAATCAATTTTTTTAGAATGTAATATATGACCGAGATATGTCAACATTCATATTAGCCAATAAAGGCAGTCAATGAGGAGTAACATATACGATTTTGGAGATAAAATGAGATACATGTATGGAACTATTAGGTATATATGGAACTAAATGAATCAGAGGTGAGTTTTTGCAGTTGATAGGTGTAGTTCAGTGTTTTTTGTGTGTGCGCGTGTGTGGGGCTGTCTAGGATACGAAATGTTAATGAGGATAGTTGGGTTTGTTTGTTCAGTCTGCTAGTTGAGTTGCCATACTTGTTAAAACCAAAATAATGGAAGATAAGAAAGAAGCTGGTCGATTCAAAATTCGATTTTTTCAGTTTTCATATTTTGTATACAGTTTTAGGATAATTCTTTTAAGTGTGTTGTTAACCAGTGAAGAAACTTCAGTGTTTGCATCATTTTTGTACAGCTGATCTTTTGATGCCTAGCCTATCCTTTTATAGTCATGACTGAATTTGCCTTGATATCCATCAACTGGTGTATTTTATCAGAAAATCTTTAGCAAATTCATATAATCTTCTATCCATATTTTTTTATCAGATCAGAAGAGTTTAGCAAATACCTATGTCTTCTATCCATACATTTTCTCTCTAATTGTCTGTATAATATAAATCTGGACGCGCTAGAACTTCTTGTCAATTCAATGGGCATTACTTAAGTGTTATAGTCTTATAGAACCCAATTACCATTATTGTGTCGGGTTATGTTCAGAACAACATTGTTCAGGCATTGATTTCATTGCTCGGCTATAATTATCATGCTGGAAATTCTATAAAAAACAGAAAAAAAAGAAGAGTTAGATTTTTCGTTTTCCGGTGTTCTTTGAAGGAAGCTTGTCTTTTTCAGGACAAGGTATGGTTAGTTTACTCGTTTCCCGTGAAGGTATGACTTTTGTCATTAGTTGTTGAGCTTCACTTCTTATGCTGAATTATTTAAGAACATTTAATCATGGGGCTTTCAAGTATGTTTCTTTTTATCTCTTTGTGTTATGTTAACCAGATTCTTGTTCGACCAATGTTTGTTATCAAATCTATTGCAGTTACATTTTCAATATATTGGGGCAACTCATTGATAAGCAGTCGTTACAAGATCAATGCTGTCGTATCCTCTCTACACTTCTCGAAGTATTCAAAGTTGACTGTAAAAAGGATGTTATTTGTGTGCTCGGAGAACAGTTACAGGTATTTCCAGTGTCATCTTTCTAACATCCTTTATTATCCTTTATCAGACTTGTTTGACTTGCCTATTGTGGGGTTCTCCAGTTTTTAGTTTCAAAGCTGGTTGCCTGTTGCATTCCTTCTGTAAACAAGGGTGGTAGGGGTGAAGGCCCTTCATCAAGAGTCATCACATTGCTTCATCAACTTACTGTGGATGCGGACATATCTCTTAGTGATTACATCCGAGTAGGTTCTCTGCTAATTTTTCTGTGTGCAACAGCTTTCCCATTTGTTCTCATTTTTTCCCCTGCACACTATCTAATATTGCAGATTGACACTTTTCGTCATGCTTTCAATTTTCTATACACCATCTAATATAGCTGAAGATAATGTCTTTAGACCTTCCTACATTATACAGGAGTTGGAACCATTTCCTGAAATTGATTGCTTGGAGAGAATGAGGAAATATCATGAAGAACTTTGTAAAACTTACACTTCAAGGGACCGCTTTTTAATGGTAAATATTGTCATCTGCTTTCTCTTTCATTTGTTTTGTCTTTTTTGCATGTTGAATATCTTACATCTCATATTTTTATTGTTTTTCTAGTTTGTCCGTAGAAGTTTGTACCTTCCAAAAGGGTTGCTTCCTTGGAGGTATCTAGTTGTTGACGTCATTGAATCATCACTTCTGTCCCCTCTTGTGTTTTGCCTTGTATCTAGTCCCTAATGTCTGATACTTGTTCCAGTCTGCGAGCCCTGCACAGAAATTTGAGGGAAATTGTTTTTCAAGAAACCTCAGTCACAAACAAGTATGGAGATGGTCATTGTTGGAGTTGTGATCCTGAAGTCGTTACTGCTGTCTGGAATCTTGTTCATCTGTGTAACTCAAGTGAAGCTGATGATATGAGCGGCCTTCTTGCAGATTTCATTTCTAGGGTTTGATTCGAACTTTCTATGCCATCTTATTTCATTTCTAGGGTTTGATTCGAACTTTCTATGCCATCTTTTTTTATCTCCTATATTTGTAATTTTATATGTTTTGGTTTTCGTTTTTTGTTTCTTTGATTTTTTTTCCTTATCATCTTGAACAATTTTCTGTGGTCATTGTAAATCTGGCTCTGATGAAATGTGTGAATCTTGTTTGTAGGTTGGAATTGGGGATCCCTATAGGGTTGTTTTTCATCTACCTGGAGATTCCACAGCGAAGCATCTGCTCCATCCATCTTCTGATGGGACTTCTAAAGAGGCTGGTTTCTGTTGTGATACTTCCGTTTCTGAAGAAGTTGTGGTTACTCTTTTAAAACTTTTGAAAAAGTTTCTGTCGGACGACTCTGCAAAAACTGTAGATTTGACCTCACGGACATTGAAAGTACGTCTGTTGTCAGATTTGATCTTTTTCAGTCATACTTTGTAGATGATATTTATGAAATTATGCTAGTCATGATTATCAAATAATAACCTTAGCAAGAATTAATATTGAGTAAAATTATTTATAGTTTTGTGCTATGAGAATCCTTTGATAGATGAACTATATATATTTATAAAAAATCCCTCTGCAACAAAAGTTTAAATTTTAACAGTGAATGGTCTTCAAGCTTTAGAGACTAAGAACATAGTCCTCCACTAGTTTTTATGGTAATGGTTATCAAGTTTTAGTTTATTTCTTTTTTATTCATATAAACAGGGTATTCTTTCAACTGATAGAGGTCAAGGTGCTCTGCTTCACCTTACTTCCTTTGAGAGATCAGTAATTGCGGTAAAAGCTGTAACCTATCACTTACTTTTTTTAAATTATGAAATGCTGAAATTAGTCATGTAAAGCTGTAAGCTACACTTTGTATTTTTGCCACCCATTCATTTGAGATTATAGATAAACCACTTATTATGACTATGCAGGTTCACTCAAAGGGTGCTAACTTGCAAGTGGTTGAAAAGTTACTGCTGGATTCCCCAAATTCTGGTAATAATAATTGAAATAGAATAAGCCATTAGCAGAGTTTCTTTTTCTTGAAGTAATTTAAAGTTTGCAGTGTTGTTTTACTATCTTATACAGTTAAACCAATTAATTATATATTACTTTTCACCTTTATGTTTGTACGAACTGTATTGAACTTTGGTAGATAACTTTACTAATCAAGCTTGTCCGTACAAAGTAATTTCAGTTTTCATTCAGTAAAGTTAGGTTTTGTTTCCCATGATATCCAGCTTACCTATGTACAACTCTGGTATTCCTTAACAAATGAAAGTTTATCTCTGTGTTATAACAAGTTTTAGACTAGTTTAATTTATTTTGTTTCTTTGTAGTAACTGTTAAAAATTCAAGAAGGAATTCATATATTTCTTATTCATATTGGCTGAATAGTACATGAATATATACAGCAAGGAGGAACAAATCACTCCCTAAAAATAAGCATAAAATATGGAAACTAACTAATTAGGGAATCAGTAAATAATATCCATATCCTTTATTCTAGGAAACAAAGCAAACCAATTCCTAAAAATACTGATAGTAAATTTTGATTTCCACACTCTCCCTCAAGCTAGGTTGTAGATGTTGAGTAAACCTAGCTTGGAATTAAGATCCTCAAATGTCTTTCTAGTCACAGCCTTGGTTAGGATGTCTGCAATTTGTTGGCTTGTTGGAATGTAGTCAATGTACTGAAGAGATATCACATTTGCCTCTATCTTTTCTTTGATAAAATGTCTGTCAATTTCCACGTGCTTTGTTCTGTCATGATGCACTGAATTCTTCGCAATGCTGATGGCAGATTGATTATCACAGAGCACTCTCACAGGCCCTGTAAGTGAAATTCCCAGTTCTTTTAGAACCTTTTGCAACCAAATTCCTTCACAGATGCCATGTGCGAGTGCCCAGAATTCTGCTTCTGCGCTGCTTCGAGACACTACTGACTGCTTCTTGCTTCTCCATGTAACCAAATTTCCCCATATGTATGTACAATAACCTGAGGTTGAGCGCCTGTCAGTTACAGAACCTGCCCAATCTGCATCGGTGTAGATTTTGATCTCTTTGTCTTCTGTCTTCTTAAAGAACAGTCCCTGTCCTGGTGTCATCTTTAGATATCTTAGGATACATATACCGCCTCCATATGCTCTTCTGCCAGATTATTCATGAATTGGCTTACCACACTTACAGCAAAGCTAATATCAGGTCTTGTATGTGACAGGTAAATGAGCTTTCCCACCAGTCTTTGCTGCTTTCCTTTGTCCACTGGTGCACTATCATCCTTGCTTCTTAGCTTTGAGTTAGACTCCATGGGGGTGTCAGCAGGCTTGCATCCTAGCATACCTGTTTCCTTTAAAAGATCTAGTACATACTTCCGCTGAGAGACTGATATTCCTTTTCTTGACCGTGCTACCTCCATGCCAAGAAAGTACTTGAGATTGCCCAAGTCTTTGATCTCAAATTCTTTGGCTAGGAACCCTTTTAGCTTGAGTATCTCCTCTTCATGGTCTCCTGTTAGGATGATATCATCAACATAAACAATGAGAATAGCCTTTTTCCCTGAGGATGAGTGCTTGACAAACATGGTGTGATCTGCCTGGCACTGGTTGTACCCAACCCTTTTTACAGCTCTAGAGAATCTGTCAAACCATGCTCTAGGCGACTGTTTAAGTCCATATAAGGATTTTTTTAAGTTTGCAGACTTTGTTGGTGGTGGTTGGGCTGTTGAAACCTGGAGGAATAACCATGAAGACTTCTTCTTCTAGATCCCCGTTGAGGAATGCATTATTCACATCCAGTTGATAGAGTGGCCAATCTAGACTGGAAGCTAGTGACAGCAAAACTCAAACGGTATTGAGATTAGCTACGGGAGCAAATCTCTCCTGGTAATCTATTCCATAGGATTGGGTGAATCCCTTGGCTACCAGTCTGGCTTTAAATCTGTTGACACTTCCATCTGTATTGTGCTTGACTGTGAAAATCCACTTGCAGCCAACAGGTCGTTTTCCTGCAGGTAACTCAAATATAGCCCAAGTTCCATTCTTCTCCAGCGCACGCATTTCTTCCCAAATGGCTGCCTTCCATACTGTAATGCCTAGAGCATCATGTATTGAGCTTGGAATCTGTATTTTGTCAAGATTGCTCACAAATGCATGATAATTTGGTGACAATCTTCCATAGGAGACAAATTTATAGATCGGATGATCAGTGCATGACTTATTTCCTTTTCTCAAGGCAATAGGTCTATCATCAACAGAAGGGTTATCAGGAGAAGGATCGGGACTGGTGTTACCTGGTGAATTTTGAGGTTCCAGAGTTGGATTGGATTCATTGGTTTGATCCGGTGGCTGCAGTTCCTTTCCTCCTTGTACCTTGTGTTTTCTAAAGTAGACCTTTAACTCCTTATTTATTTCAGGTTGAGTATGACTAAGGCACTGAGGTGTTTGTGGATCTGTTTGAGGATTGGACTCGGGAAAAGACTCGGGAGAACTTTGACTCTGATTTATCTGAGATGACTCTGTTTGAATGACAGGAATATGACTTGGACTTTGACTGTGAGTTGGTTCCATTGTGTTTGGTTTAGTAGGCCTAACCGAATCCATGGTGTCAATGTCCCAAAGCTGATATTCTTTTGTGAAACTCTCCCCTTGAATATCAGGTTTGTAGTAGGGCTGCTGTTCGAAGAAGGTGACATCCATGGAGTTGTAGAATTTTCAGGTAACTAGAGAGTAACATTTGTATCCTTTCTGATTTGAGGAATATCCAACAAACATGCATTTGAGTGCCTTGGGATCAAGTTTACTTCTATGTTGAGTATGAATATGAACAAACACTGAGCAACCAAAGACTCTTATGGGAAGAGTGGATAGAATGTGAGTTGTTGGAAACGATTGGAGAAGGACTTGACAGGGTGTCTGGAAATTCAAGATTCAAGAGGGCATTCTGTTTATTAGATAAGCGGCTGTCAAGACTGCCTCACCCCAAAAAAACTTGGGAACATGTGTGGTGAACATGAGTGATCGCACAACTTCTAGGAGGTGTTTGTTTTTCCTTTCTGCAATCCCATTTTGTTGGGGTCTATCAACACATGAGCTTAGATGAACAATCCCTTGGCTCTCAAGATAATTGCCCAGAATTCTCTCAAGTATTCTTTTGCATTATCAGTTTTCAACACCTGTATTTTGTTTGGAATTGAGTTTGGACCATAGTGTTGAATTTTCTGAAAATTTGGCCTACTTTCGATTTTTCTTTCATGAGGAATATCCATGTGATCCTAGTGTGATCATCTACAAATGATATGAACCACCTAGGCCCGCTAATATTTCTTATTCTGGATGGCCCCCACATCACTGTGAATCATTGAAAAAGGATGAGATGACTTGTATGGTAAAGTATGAAAGGAATTACGAACATGTTTTGATAATTGACACACCTCACATTGAAAAAAATTTGGATTTTTATTTTTGAATAATGATGGAAACAACTTTTGAAGATACAAAAAATTAGGATGTCCTAGACGATAGTCCCACAACATGATTGCACTATTCTTATTATAAGAGAAGATTTTTATTGACCTGACTTTCTGACTCAACACTAATAGCCTTATGAGAGTGTCTTCTCGGAGATTCACTAGATTTAAGGAGAAACAGTCTCGAGCGCACCTTAGCATTGCCAATCGTCCTCCCCGAATCCAAATCCTGAAATTCACACAAATTCATGAAGAATTTAGCTACACAAGTATGATCTTGAGTGAATTTGCTAACTGACAAAATATTACAATCTAGGTTTGGAACATGAAGAACATATCCTAGTGTTAGATCCTTTGAAATAATGATAGAACCTGTCCCTACTAATTTGGATTAAGATCCATCTGCTATCTTCACAGTGAGGTCTTCTTGACAAGGACTGTAAGTTTGAAAAAGTGCACTATCTCCTGTCATATGATCTGACGCTCCCGAGTCTACAATCCAAGGACCTGTTTTACCCAAATTTATAATGAGAGCGCTCAAGTAATTACCTTTTTGTGCTAAGGATCCCGTCCCAATAGTGTTGTTGTTGTTATTTTGCTGAGAGAACATCTTTTGCAGTAGCTCAGTTTGTTCCTTGCTAAACGGACTGGATTTGGTGATAGAAGGTCCTTCATTGCTCGACACATGGTTTCTTCGAATTTCCTTGTCAATGGTTGGTCTTGAGGGCTTCCAATCTGCATGTTTGCCATGTATTTTCCAGCAAGTCTCTGGAATATGTCCTGGCTTTCGGCAGTGGTCACACCATGGTCTTCCCTTCTTTTGTCGATTGTCACTGTTGTTGTGGTTGATCCCTCGAGCAGCCAGGGCAGAATTTTCTGTAACAGGGTTAACAGAGAATTCTCCCGTCATCACTTTCTTCCTGCTCTCTTCTCTACGTACTTCAGAGAAGACTTCTCGGATGTTTGGTAATGGCTTTATGCCTAGTATCCACCCTCGAACTTCATCAAGACTTTTGTTTAGTCCCATTAAGAATTAAAAAAATTATTTTCTTTTCAACAATATGTCTGAACATCTTTGCATCACCTGTACAACCCCATTTGTGCTCCTCATACACATCCAATAATTGCCATTGACGAGCAAGGTTGCTGTAATATTGTGTGACGGAGAGCTCTCATTGCCGGAGGTCATGGAGATCAGTTTCGATCTCAAAAATCTCTGAGGTATTCTCTTTGCTGGAATAGAATTTCTTTGCTGCATTTCAAATTTCATAAGCAGTACTGTAAAAAAAGAAATTCTCACCAATTTCGTTAGTCATGGAGTTGACCAACCAAGACATAACCATATTGTTCTCACTCTTCCAGCTTTTGAATTTTGGATCTTCAGGCTTTGGGGGAACGATGCTACCTGTAAGGTAATCATCTTTTCCCTTTCCACAGATGTACATCATGACAGATTGTGACCATTGGAGATAGTTGTTCCCATTCAATTTGTGCCCTGTAATGGGAAGATGAACTCCATCTGATCCACCATTGCTGTTGGAGACAAATACGGCAGAACCTGAATTCACCTCTGATGAAGATGAGGCCGATTTTTCCGTGGCCATTCCGTACTTGGTCATCGGAGATTTATCTAGGGCTTTAAAAGTTCAGGGGCGGCTCTGATACCATGTTAAAAATTCAAGAAGGAATTCATATATTTCTTATTCATATTGGCTGAATAGTACATGAATATATACAGCAAGGAGGAGCAAATCACTCCCTAAAATATAATTAGGGAATCAGTAAATAATACCCATATCCTTTATTCTAGGAAACAAGTCAAACCAATTCCTTAAAATACTGATAATAAATTTCGGATTTCCACAGTAACTTATGCACTGTTTGCTCTCTATTGCATTTGTTATCTATAGGTAGGTTTGTATGGGTCATTAATAAAATATCTCTTAGTGAACTGGTGTAATATTTGTTCTAGCACTACTGACGGGAGTACCGCTTCGATTAATAGAGATCACGTGATCCTAGTTTTTCTTCACCAGCAGTTTTATGCACTACTCATCTTGGAACCTTTACTTTGTACTTGATGAGAAAGATGTTTAGTTTTGTTGTCAGTTATGAATTGGAGTCTTAGTGAAATCTGATCATCCTTTTGGTATTAGTAAAACCTACTTCTCTTTTATGAGAGTTTCTACAGAATGTAGAAAAACTTGATTTTCAGTTATTATCATAGATGAATTATCTCAATCTTGCAGGAATCAGTAGTTTGTATCATTGCAATTTCATTCTCTGCATTGTGTTCTGTCTATCTTGAGGTGTATGCTATATTAGCTGATCTCCCCTGACTTTTAGTGAGGTGTAGGGACAAAGATTAGAGGCCTTTTTTGCTTTAATGCAGGGAAAAGAATTGGGGTAGCCTTTGTTTCTAGCATGAAGCATAACAGCCTTACAGCTGAGAAGAAATATGGTGACTGTTATATTGGGAAAATGACTTCTTTAACCTTCCTAATATAGTAACTGCTCTAATATTCCCCTCAAACTTGTTACATAAATCATACCACAACTTGTTACATACATATAATCAAAAGACTTCTCTTATGTTTTACTTTTGTAAAAAAGTTACAATTGTCCTGACCTTCAACAACTGTTATCTCTTTCTTAGTCCCCAGCAGGTTTTTCCACAATAAATTGGGTGGATAGAAGTAGCCAATTTCAAATTTCTTCCCGCATCCAAGTAAATGTGCACAATCCTGCTGTAGTAATTTGAGGGATCGAAGATCATTATATCTTCGATCTCATGCAAGCAGACAAGTATGTTTCACATATGGAAACATACATTAGAAAGAAGGTGAAATTGTAGAGGAGAAAAGGTGATGCCATCATATGCAGGATTTTTTTATTAGTTGATTTTTAAATATTTTTTCTCATCTAATTTTTTTCTTTTCTTTTTCCTTTTCCTTTTTTCCCGCTTGTTTCCTACATCCTTGTTTTCCTCGTTTGCCCCTTCATTAAGAGAAATACCTGGCATTTTTACAAAAGAGAGAATCGAGTTGTAGACTTCTTAACAAAAGAGGGGTATAAACGGATAATTATAGCTGATGTATATACATGGAACACCACACCTGTGGTCAAGTTGTGTGGAAGCAATGTTGGTGAAATGGGAAGTGACCTAGTGGAGATGCAAATGGAAGAGGTTATGTGGGACCTAGAAAAAAGATGATTAAGAACATCTTGTTCGATAACAAATGTCATATGGTAATGATATGGAAAGCAAAAATGAATATTGTGAGAAGGTACAAAAATTAATCACACAGATGCCTTTTTGCCAGAATCCCCTTGGCAGCAGGATTTAGCAGGGAGAGTTTAGGGTTAAGGTTTTAGCTTTGCTACCATATTATGTTGGCGAATGACTTCTCATCTGAGGGAGGGATACTCATGTTTTAGTTATATTATAGCAAATTGGTACAGTTATATGTTTTCAATGTAGGACTAAAAAAACAAAAAGCCTTGTTTAACTTTCTTAATCTTATATAATCAGTATGCTAATAGTTATATTTGTACGAGAAGGTATTGTTTAGCTTATTTGATTCTTGAAACAAATAAGCAGGAAATTGTTACCACATCATATAACGTGCATGTTGAGATGAACATCTTGCACCATTTTGTGTAGGTATTCTATATGCTTAAGCATTCTGGCTGGTTATTTTGTGAAAGAGGACTTCCATGTTAACGAGACTTACATTTTACCATCTTTCTTAAAGCTCTATATGCACATCCTGAAACAATAAGTCCCAAGCTAATAATATTTTATCAACTTTCATTGGTAGGCAATGACATTTCGTTAGATGATTCTTCTCTCTGGTGCACGTCATCTAAAACGTACGATACATGGATATGCTTACTTGTTCATTCTCTGATTGGTTTCTGTAATGATATCATTTTAAGGTAAGTGTATTTCCTTCCAGAGTGATCTTTTTTTGTAAAATCGTAATGGCTTGTAGAATCTACTTTGACCTATCTTTCTACTTCATATTTAATTATTTTATGTAGATTGTGTCAAGATATAGTTCTATTAAAATCTGAGGTAGCCGAGCTTTTGTTTGCAAATGTGCTGGTGGACTTGGCTGGAAAAAAGTTCGACTTTTGCAAGCCAATATCAACAAAGGTTGAATTTTGAGCATTTTCTTGTAATAGCCAATTGATTGCTCTGTAAATTTTAATTTTGCCAATTTTTTTCAGCTACTGAAATGGTAATGTGTTCTCTTTGTTGTGCAGGTTGAGGAAAACATCTTCTCAAAGTCCAATAATTTGATTAAGTCAGTTCAACTCTTATTAAGTGCAATGAACAGTCTTCGTTCGTTCTATGCCACTGAGAAAGCCCGTTCTACCCCAACAACAGCTAGGGTATGAGTCTTATCTGATACACACTGTTCTAGTTCTCTCTATGAATTTGAATTTAGATATTCTCTGCTTTCATGGGCTTTTCTTTTATGTTGATTGAATGCATTTGTGTACACATACATGCATACATGTGTATGCATAAAAGATGTCTTGAGGACTTAAAAATGGTTTGATGGATCCACTGCTCTTATTGCTTGACATGTCTTTCCATGCATAGTGCTTCAAGATTATCAGTTCTATTAAGATTTAAAATCAAGTTGTTTGTGGCTACTTGATTGATGAAACAGTCAAAACATTTATTTATTGTTATGTGGACAACTTGCGTATGGTAGATCATCTCCATGGATTATCAATTTAAAAGATTACCGTGAAATTCGGGACTAAAGAGCACCAATATCCCTCATTTTCCGAAAGCAGCCATGGTCAATTCTATATGTATGTGTGTGCTTATGTGTATTACAACTTCATTCGATTCAGAATAGTACTCTCTTCTTTTAAGAATTTGTTTGTTGCTCTCTCCACTAATTTGCATGCAGCTCGTATAATATCATTACTCTTTCTTTTTGAACGTCTTCGATTGAGAAAATACTTAAAATTTTCTTTGATGATCTCACTTACCAATGTTATCACATTCCCCATTAGTGGGATAATATAACCTCCATGATGGACCTACGTATTCTTCAAAAACAATGAATAATCAGTGCATTACATTCAAGATCTAACATGATACATAGGAGGAAATCAACTTATAAAAAATGATTCAGGTAGTTTAGGATGTTTAGTTGTACGTTTTTCACGTACAGGGTGCATTTATAACTGGGAATGTGACCGAGAAATGAACATAAGGTGTTCTTATATAAAGGGTGGGTTGAACATATACAGCGACAACAACATCAAAGCCTTCATCCTAAATTTTTGGGGTCGGCTACATAAATCCTAATCTTCCATTAATTTTTGTTATGGGTCATGTCATCCATCAAGCTAACGATTATCATATCCTTCTTAATTGTTTCTAACTAAGCTCTTTTAGGTCTACCCTCTAGTTCTCTTTGCTCCATTAACTATAATCTTATCAATTCTTCTGATTGGTGCATCTACTGACCTCCATTGTATATAGGCAAACCTTCTCAATCAATTCTTTCTCATTTTATTTTCAAGTAGGTTTGAATATATGGAAAAAATTGTCAGCATTGAGAAGTGATTGAGAAGCAAAAAATCATTCATGTCTTGTTAGTGAGTCCCTTAAAGATGGGTTGGGGCTATCCTTAATTTTGTTATGTACTTGTTACTACTTTTGTATATCTTTTGTATGCATTAACAGAATTTATGATTCTGCAGAATGGAAAGCCCTCTAGCAGTACCAAATCTCGTGGAACATCTGAAAAACTAAAAGAGCGCTCAGTAAATAGTTCTCCATTGAGTTCTTTATGGGAAAAGGTACAGCTTTAAATATTCCATATCCTATAAATGGGGTGATATATATTTTTTTGTTGACTGTTTTCAGATCTTAAGTTAGTGGATTTCAGCTGATTTGGTCCTTACATTTTATGTTTCTCATGTGTAGTCTCTTGAAATAGTCCACAAAGAGTGGTATACAATTTATAATACTTGACTTGCTATGAGTGGCACCAGTTTGCATCTCATATGAAAGTGCTTCTTGTCTTGTTTTTCTTGTTTTATTATGTTTCAATTTGGTTTACAACCTCTCGATTTGAAACTTCATTTGTTGAGGAATCAAAATGTTTCTTCTGCTGTATGAATTATTATTTCATATTATTGAACCTTTTTAAAGATTAGTTATGCTTCTTTTCTTATTGGGTAACATTTAGTGGAAAGAGACGGTGTTGAGTGCTAATGATGGGGTTGTTTATATGTTGAATTGGATTCAATTCAGATTAAGGTTCTTTCTGCCAAGGTTGTCTTCTGATTGGTAGTATGAGGACACGCTACTGTCCATATAACTGTAAGTAGTGCTTTTGGTGATATTGGTTCTGAGGTTGGAGGGACACACTACCTATTTTCTTACTCGAAAATTGAAACTAATAATCCTAAGCACTATATGATCTACTTTAGTATCCTTGTTTGACCCATGTTTTTCTGTCTATGACTGGCCTAGATCCTTAACACCAGTGAGAATTTTCCTATTAACCATTCTGAGATAATATCAAGTTTTGACTTCTTTTATGATACATGTTTTATTCTAAAACATTCTTCATCTAAATTGCATGGAAACGAGTATGGGTACTGGTATGAGTGCGGTTACAAGTACGAGACATTGCAAAAGTGTAAAATATAGGATACGGGGACACGACTACATATATATATTTATATTAATAATTTACGTGAGACCATTGTTTTTCACTTCATGTGTCATTAGAATTAAAATCCCTATCACATTTTAAAGTTTCTTTTCTTATATTAATTATTATAAATTAGAAAGTACTCATTTTTGAACTAGATACCCAAACAAGCGTTTAAATTTATAGTTTTGAACTTGGGTTTGAGCTAAAAACAACCCGACTCATATCCAACTAGTTTTAAGGAATGGATGTGAAGTGTAGGCTATACGTCCAAAAAAATGTTTGACAAGTGTTTTAAATTAAAACATAAAATTGAGTACGTCATGATAAATGTATGCATATATCAAAGGAGTGTCCATGAAGTTTACCTATGAGAATGTGTTGGGTACGTATCGAGTATGGGTATGACTTCATGATAGAAGTACCCGGTAACATAGTCCTCATACACTTCTTGGACATATATTTTTCTTCTTTCACTTTGCATCCATTTCCTATTGCCCAATGGACATGAGTCGGGTTCAATTTAGCTCATAGGCAGTTTAGAAGTATGATTTTAAAGGGTCATTTAGATGGACACGAGTCAGGTTTGATTCAGCCCATAGCTAGTTCAGAAGTATGATTTTAAAGGATCGTTTAGATTTCTAGTTCACGAACGAGCAGTTTTCCAATTTATAATATACTATAAATGAAACATAAAAGCATTATATGAATTTTAGTTCTTAGAACAAATTTGTTGTGTTTCGTACCTATTTTCGTGCAACATATAGGGACATTGAAGGATTATGGAGCTGTAGTTTATTTACTTTATAAATGAAGTCTGACTATCCAAGGTTTTAAATATCGGATATCAGAGAAATATCGAGCGACCAAAACCCATATCGGATTGCGGATAGCAGGGAAAAATCAGTGATATGTTGTAAATATCGGAGCGTCATATCGGATGATATGCATATATAATGTAATGTCCAAAAATATTATCTAAACATACGTAATGAAATGTGAGAATGCAAAAATATAAATAATATATGTTTAGGTTCACTAACCAATCTTTTAAAATCGAAGTCCAAATTGGTATTACAACATTTAGGTCAGAAATGTCACTTGCTATATCTATCACCCAAAAATTGCCAAAAATAGTACACTATCCTACAAAATTACAATTAAAAGGACATATCGGTTGATATTATCGGCCGACGGATCGTTTTGTCGAAGGCCTTTAAAAGGATATATCAACGCGATATGTCTGCTATGTTGGAGATATTTAAAACAATGTGACTATCTCACTTTAAGTTTATGTCACTTCCCATCATAACATGGCATGGGAACACTACCCCTGATCCCAGGTATCTGTTGGTGATTTTTTTCCCTGAAAAAAAAAGTCCCTTGTGAATTGCTTATCCAAATTCAAGGCGTTCTCGCGTCATTTGGACACCATCTTCAACCATCATTGTCATCTCTAAAAAAAATTCATTCAAAAATGTTCCTATGTTTTGAGGAGAGTAACTAAACTCTTAGAGAGATAGTCATGTTTTATTTATGTGGTTTTCCAAATAAACCACCTTTGGATAGAGTGAGAACACGAAAACGATTTTTAAAATTTAATTAATACAGAAACCATTTGTAAAGGGGTTCTGACAGCAATCAACCACCTTGACATATTTTCTAGTGAAATTTTGATTGAAATCCCTAATACCCGGTCCCCATGGGCCTAACATGAGTCGTTTTAAGGGCATTTTGGGGAATCAATTGAAATTTCATCAGATAATTGGTTGAAGTGGTTGATTGCTACCAGAACTCCTTTAAAGATGGTTTCTATAGTAACTGAGAGTCTGAGATTTAAAAGAGGTTTTTGTATTTTAAAGGCTGTTTATGTTAAAAAAAAACCTTATTTATAGAAAAACAAATAGGCTCTGGGCATATTAATTTTCAATGTGTGACTAACAATCTTCTCTAACTTTCTTTATGTGCTAACTACCCTAGTATTGCTTTCGGGATGTAATACTATGCAAATATAATGTTTCTTATACTCTGTTCAGAAGATGATCTTTGGACTCTTCATCTTTCTATTATCTGATGATTTACTTTGTTTAGGTGTACTGGCTTTCCATCGATTATCTTGTGGTTGCTGAAGCTGCAATTGTGAGTATCTCTTCCCCTTTTGTTTAGGACAATAGTGAATAGAGATATATTGACACATTTAAACTCATATTCTTATAGTCTGGAAAAGCCATAATGGATGGATTTTCATTTTAATGATCCCTGTACATGTGCATGCTAGGGTTTGCATAGTATACTATGAGAGGAGCGGATAGTTTTTGCGGATTGGAAACATTCTTGTGAGATTATTGCTAAAATAAATTCACCAATATCGTCATTTGTAGGCCATGTTGTTTATGGTTACTCTTGATGGTCCTAATTATACATAATAACATGATGAAATTTGATGAAATTGATTGTTGACTCTACAACTTGGTTGTTTTTAGTTATATGCTCCCGGAAATGTCAGCCATACAAGGTTACAAACTCATTTTTAACACACAGCCTTTTCAATGCAAATATATTTCAGTTTCGGCGGCTTAGTCAGTAACTAATTTGTATTAAATCACATCGTGGCGTAACATATATTATGATCACTAATCAAATTTAGATAATAGAGAAGTTCAGGATACCTGCAATAATTCCAAACCTTTATGCAATGCCTCAAGAGCTTTCCGAAGAAGCTACCTCCAGAGAAGAAACCTCCAACGGAGTTCTCCTGTCACCATGAGGATGGAACACTAGAGAGACCAGGTCTCCAAAGCTTTATTTTCCTCAAACCTTCAAAGGGTCTAAGTACTTCATGTTTGTAATCTTACCAATGTTGGGTATTCGCACAAAGGCAAAACTCACTAGCCAAGGAAGCTTGCATTCCAAACTAAGGAATGTTGCATGCCAAGCTGAGGCTTGCATGAAAGCCCAAATTTGAATTCCTAGCTTCATTTTTTTAAATAGAAATATCATTTGCATGTCCTTTAATCCTTTCCTAATAAAATTAGTGAGACCAGTTGGGTTCCATGACGAGAGTTAATTATTAATCAAATTAGTTTTTCAATTGATTTTGATTGAAAATTTTAATTTGATAGTCAATTTTTATCCAATTGTTCATAAAATCTCTAACATTCAAATTTTTATCCAACTGTTCATAAAATCTCTATCATACTATGTCTTAATTAATTCCCTCTAACCATTGCACCAAAATTGCGAAGTTAAATTGCGAAGTTATGCTAAGGGTCAAGGATTATAGTTTTATATTAATTTTAACACACCCAACGCAGGTTGAACCCCTTTTTTATGGGTTGAGACCTAGACACACGCAACAATGTCCATTTTTAGAAAATCCACTTCAAATTCGTGGCCGGTGAGATTTGAACCTCGGTTGCTCTGATACCATCTTAGATTAGTTCCCTCTCTAACCATTACACCAAAACCTCAAAGTTATGGTGAGGATCGAGGATTATAATTATATATTGATTCTAACACTATGAGAGTAAATATTTAAAAATATATATTATTTTATCATGTTGAATTCCTTCCAGTTTCTGTGAGGTGCACGTTGAGTATAATTTATAATGGATTTTTAGATATACCCCCAATCATTTTTATTTTAATATCCTATACCACAAATATTAATATTCTAGTCTTTAAAAGGTTTTGAACAACGCTCAAAATATTTGAAACCAGTCCTATGGGGAATAAAACTAGAATTGAGGGCATTTCCTGACATTTTTAGGATATCAGCGCTAACTTAAAGATGTAAAAAGGTCATATAATAAATTGAAGATTTGGGAGGGGTTACAGGTATGGTTATCTAAACAAAGAAGATTTGGAATGGGTATTATATTTACAAGACCTTTTCTTTTTATGATCTAATGGTTAATCTTTGTTTTGTTACTCTTTACTTATGGAGCATGTATTTTTTTCATGCATTCTTTCCCGACTCAGTTCCAAAGCATGTCTTGTGTTCTTTGGATAGGCAAATATGATAGTACAATATTATTACAATTTAGAACATTGATGGAACACAACTGTAAGAGATTACATGCATTTATATTATACATTCCAATGTTAGCAATTGAAAGATTGGTGTAGGGTATTTTCTTTATATGCTCCCAGGCTTCTCTAAAAATCCTGAGTTTCTCATATCGAAATTTCCTCATGGAATTAGTTTTTCCCCTTTGGCAGCGTTGCGGGTCATATTTCACTGCAATAATGTATGTGGAGCATTGGTGTGAGGAGCAATTTAATGGGCTGACATTAGGATGTCCCGACTTTTCCCACAAAGAACAGGCAAGTTTTTACTCTCTTTATTCATGATTTTGGTGTTTCACACTGATAAGAAGTTTAACTAGTTGGATTCATCATCATTTCTTTTCCACTTCATGCTTTATAAAATCTGCATTTTTGCAATGATTTCAGCTGCCTCAGCATATCGAGCTACTGGTTGGAGCAGTTACGCAGATCAATGAGCCTGACAGCGTTTATGGAATTATCCAATCCCATAAGGCATGTGACAGCTTTTCAATTATTTATTTCTTATTGTTTTAAACCATCAGTAGCTAAATTGTAATGCTGATTTCTTCTAATTTCTGTTTAAAGAGTATCAGTTTGATAAATAACTCCAGGTTAGGTTAGTTCTTCTGCTGATAATGTTTTGCCTCCATTTTGTGTTTAAACTAATTTGTACGCCTTAGTTTTGGAAATTAATTCTGTGCAATTGACCAGAATTCAGCACCATAAAACGTTTCTAAAGCATGAACTTGCGTTGTGCATATATACATATGAGGGTCCTGATGTGCTTGGGCATGGCAGTACTCTAAAGTCTAAATACAAGGGTTTTTCCATATTATATTTTGCCTTGCAAACATGATGTGTTACTCCTACCTTGTCAACCATTAAATAACAAATTGCAGGGTCTCTACTTCCAACCTATGAATTTAGCTATTCTTGTTCAGGTTAGCTGATGGTGTAATTTGCATGAGATCAATATTATTTTTCAGTTTACATGTTGTGAAACAATTTATATTTCTTTTATTATATAAATCTATATATAAGAAAATTGCTTGTTTCTTAACCTAATCCAATAGACCTTTTAAAATCGTAGTTCTGAACTGGGTAGGGCTGAAACAAACCTGACCATGTCCATCGAGTTTCGAGAAGTGTACATGAATTGTAGGATATACGTTCAAGAGATATATTGCGCGTGTCTTAAATTAAAGCATTTATTGTATAACTGAGTACTTGTTTAGATATGCATGCATATGTTCAAGGAGTGTCCAGCAAACTTGGGTACGGGTGCGACAGGTACGGCATGGGTTCGGCTTCAAATAGAAGTACCCTACTATCCATGCAACATAGAACAGACATGAGAGAGGTACATATTTTTTATGCTATATAGGATTTAAACCATTCTGATCTGAACCACCGCTATTATTTGTATTCTGTTATAAAATTTAACATAAGAGGAGACTAGGAAGTTAAAAGCACAAAAGTTAATTTGATGGACTTGTATTAGGAGGAGTAATAACAAACCATATTGTTGGGTAACCTCCATCTAGTCAACTCTTTTATTATATAGTTTTCAACCCATAACATAGGATCAAAATGAATTTTACATTGCTTCAAATGATTCAAATCTATAAAAAACAGTAGCACTTTTGAGTTTTCATATTATTAAAAGTCGCTATACCTAAGTAATAACTAATAAGAAGCAACATTTAGTTTGTTTATAAGGGTTTTAAGAGTTTAGATTAAGATTAATTGTTTAAACCAGAAACTTCAATGTTGTAAAATGCAGGTCTCAGCAAATATCATTTTTGATTGTCCATTTTATTGATGCTTGATGCATGGGAAAATGTTTAAACTGCAGGTTGTCTTTTATTTTGATCGTCAAGTTCTTTACAAAATAGATGTCCTGACATAAAAAAAGTTAGAACTTGCTTCTTTATAAGGATATAGCACGAAGTTCTTAGATTCAGATTTAATCACAGGTCATATTTATAAAAAAATCTATGTCCTTAACCGTTTGTTTGTTATTAAAGTTGAATGTTATCTCTGTACTTATAATTCACTTGAAAGAACTGACCAAACTACATGCAAAACGCCCGGTTCTGTCGTAAAACTGAGATAATACTGCATGATAACAGCTTATCTTATTGGAATTGCTCAGAACCCCATCAAGTTCGAGCTCCGTATTAAACTCAATCATTGAACCCTCATCCTCCTGCAGCATTTTTGAAAGAAAAGTTAATTATTTCATATTGTTTCCTTGAAAATTATGCATAGGTGAGAAAACTAATAATCTCTGTAGAAGTTGCAGTTCCCCTGTGCTTCGTTAATCCAGTATTAGAATCAACGAGTGAGAGAGTGACGATAACTTCAGTTAATAATTTTTTCATTCTGAATCAAACAGAGGAACAGTTTTGTAACTATGTACACTGTTCCTCATTGGACATAAAAAAACCCTTTGATTGCTTAAATATCAATGTTATATACACTGCCTCATAAATAGACAAAATTTTATTTCACTAATGATTTTTTTGCTTAATCTGCCTAAATTATATTTTTCTTCATTTTTCAGTTGAAATCTCAACTTGTTACTTGTGAGCATGAAGGAAACTGGAGTAAAGCTCTAGAATATTATGATTTACTTGTGAGATTTCCAGCTGTCCAACAGCCTGGTAGTTTAGCCAGCAAAACATTATCTACTTATTTGCATTTCCCGCATGGAGAAGAAGACAAGATGAGCAACTGGAAATGTTACAAGGGTTTGATGAGATCCCTGCAGAAAACTGGCTGTACTCATGTGCTAGATACATATGGTCATGGACTGACTAGTCAGATTGGTTATTTACAAAATGATTCAGAATTTACTGAATTGCAGGTTATATCATGCTTCTGTGCTAATTATATTCTTCTTGTGAAGCATAGAAATGGAAAAAAAAATTCCTGATTGCTTGGATTTTTATGTCATGACATCTTGTTCTTTGATCGTAATATTTCTTTTCCTTTTTTCTGTTTCCCTTGCAGTATGAAGCTGCTTGGAGGGCTGGAAATTGGGACTTCTCATTATTTACTTCGGGGATTGATTCTCAGCATTCTAGGCAATACATGACTCGTTTTAATGAAAGCTTGCATAGGTACCTTAGATCTGGATGTTCATTTACCTTGTTAAACATCTTACGTGCGTGCATGGTACTTCAGTTATTAGTTATTACCCGGTCCACCTGTAAGTCTGTAACACATTATCAGACGTAGAAACTTGCTTGATGTTCTTAATATTTTCTTTTATTATAATATTTTTCTCATATAAATCCTCCCTCCCACCCTCCCCACAGTAATTTACATGTGATGTTTCTTCTTCTTCTTCTTCTTTTGGTTTTTTTTCTTTTCTTTGTTTTTTTTTTTTTTTTTTTT